GGTCTCTCTACAGGGTTCTGTTTTACACAGGGAGATATAGGGGAACTGATCAGGTTGCATACAGATTGCATACAGATTGTATACAGATTGTACGGAAGACTGTAGCTAGGTACTAAATGAAGAGGCCAATCTGAGTAAGCTTTGCCCAGAGTTCCCCACAGAGACCTCATGCAAGAGCCTTCCAATAGATAGGACGAAAGCGCTTGCGGAGGACTAGTGGTGCCATGCTTTCGGATAATAAGGTTTCTGTACAGTGGGAGTGTGATAGTTGGGGGACGCTTCCGATCCCATGCATTCTAGATGACCCTTCCTGAAAATCGTCAACACTTGACAAAGTTGCGCTCACGTGAGACCCGTTGGCTAGTCATCCAACACTTACATTCACATTGCGACTCCTATGTCAACAAGCTGTCTTCATTGTTCTGCATTGTCGGTATAGCTGCTGTGGTCAGTCCTACTCTGACCACAACCGCTAACACTATGAGAATCCAACAATGTGCCGCTTGCACTACCCTCAAGACAATTCGGCCCCTCACGAGCCTTGCAATTAGCTGGCAGCCTCAAGTCGAACATAAACATAACCATCAGCAGCAGGACCTATAAACATAGCAGTCATCATCGTTGAAATTGCTCCAGCACTTTGCTGATAAGAAGCCTGCAGAAGCACCTCAGCAGCTACAATGGTAAGCATGCCAAGTTGCCTTCATGCAAAGTCTAGAGCTAAGGCTCTAGCAACTCTAGCACCCGTTGAACCTTAAACCCGGCCGAATCGATGTCCGTCAGCCATCCACAGCCATTGTGAGCAGAACCATCCTAATACCCCTCACAGCTGCACACTAAATCACATGCCCTGCAAGCTTACAAGCTAGGAAACGTTCCCAAACATGACACCCTGGAACTTACACCTCAATGAAAAGGGCAAGTCTCGGTTTCGTGTGCCATCTGATTGCGCAGATATCTGTGGTAGTTTCCATTCGCTTCTGATTTCTTGCCAATCAGACGCCAAAGTCGTAAGGTGAAGGCAGATCTCATGGAGGACTTGGCAGCTTTCGGATGCGATGAGCTGCGGCAAGCAGTCGAGACGTTGCCAGGGTTCACTGTTTCCATCAGTTGGGTTTATTGTTCACAGAGTTGGGTTTAGGCATATGTTGGATTAGGCCTTCGCACAGTTATGGCTTATGGTGTAAAGAAATAATCAAAGAACAGGACCCTTCATGTAATTAGCATTATATCCTGTCGTCACTATCAGTTCGAAGAGCGTGGCTGACTATGTAGCATTCGCATTAACATTGCTGGCTGTGTCTGCGGGGGCTGGCGAAATGCCTTACATGGCCCTTAGCATCCTTACCAACAGATGGCATACACTTTCTGGCAGAAGGTCATCCGGACTTTGGTTGGCCAGAGGTGTCACGCGGTTTAGGGTCTAGGGTTTAGGGTTTAGGGTATTATGAATACTGAATGTATCCACATCTTCATGCTTGCCGCCGAATATTCCGAGTATCATTGCTGTTTGGATTGATGCTATTGTGAGCATTGTTTTTCACGTTATGCATTTGTCTGGCACTTTGGTTTTCATTGGGTTGAAGCAGGTCCGCATCCACCTTGCAGCATTTGCTGATGGCGCATCCATCCTGGAAGCAGCGATTTTATCAAATCGGCGGCTTGGAAAGGATTCTGGAGAAGATGGAAAAGACTAAGAAGGCATTTCAACATCAACGCCTGGCACAATGCTTGTGCCGCACGCTGGACATGGACAAGGTGGGTGAAGAATTAAACTTTGCAAGCTTGTCAATTCCTATAGTAATCCTACAGTAATCATGACAGTACTTTGAGTATTAATGATCATAGTAATAATAGTAATAGTAGTTTAATGTTTGAGCGCCAGCCTGTTTAAAGCTTTCATCCCAGTACCGAACGGCAAAGGTAAGCAGACAAAATCGCGGAGAAATCGCAAGACGCTTGGCCCAGCAAGTGCTAGATGTCACAAATGGCGTCCGCTTCCCGCTGGACTCCAACAGCGATGAGGCTCGCATTCTGGATTATATGGACCTGATGGAAGCTATAGCCCAGGAGCCACGGCTGTGATCTTGTAACGACGTTTACCTTGATCGTTCAGTGCTTGACGATGGGAATCTAGCTGTAAATGTGTGGCCGGGGGCGCAAACTGGCATGGCACATCGAGTCAATTAATTTCCCTGCAGGACAAGGAAGCACGTCGCCTCTTGGTGAAGGGAGGGGTTGTGGCGGTGGCTTTGCAGTTCGCGCAGCACCACTCACAAGCCGTGGCAGCTGCGGCGCTTGATGCCTGGGGCCAGGCAGCCAGCGACGCAGAGGAGGAGGTCCACATCCCAACGGATGCTTTGCGCTGGGCTTTGAGCGTCCTCAGAAGCGGCGCTTCTGCCAGGATGAAGAGGGCAGCGGCACAGTGCCTGCAACGGCTTTGCTATGGCTCCTCCCAGTCCGCCCAAGAGCTTCGCAATAGTCTGGAGGGCCTCAATGCTGTGCCTGAGCTGCTGTCTGTGGCTCGACATTTCCAGAGCGCTGAGCAGCAAGTCGGACGAAACGATGGAGCAGAAGTAGCTCGACATGTCAAGAACGCAGCCTTGCTGATGTTGAACAACTGCAAAATCGCACCAGATCCGAGCCACAAACGTATTGTTCTGGAAGCTATGGCCTATGCCACCGCCAAGTCCTTTGCCAAGGAGGTTGCCTTCAACAATACTGCTGCTGGCATCCAGTGCTTTGGGCATGTGAAGCTTGGTGGTTGGGTCACAAAACCTCCCACCGCTGGAGGTCCCTTGCAGTGCTCCATGTCCTGGATGAATCCGATGTATGCGCTACGCTTTCCGCCTGGTCAACGCAAGGTGGCTGGTTCTTTAAAGAGGGCTTGCGCCTGCTGATGCAGTTCTTGGAGGTTTTAGATGTCTCAGCTTGGGTTCTGACTTCCTGAAAGAATCCTGAAGCAGTTAAGCCGCCTGTAGTGAAGGGATATGCTGCCTACAGAAGTACATCACAACTTTACAACGGCATAGATTTTAGCAGTGGTGCAGCAGCGTCAGAGGCGGACAAAGGTTGGAACTTTGTTTGCTTTGCTCCAGGTAGCGGTGGCTGTGGCTGCTCCTGGGCAAGGTTACGCAGCGTTTGGCTCTTTGTTGCAGTGTTGCGCATCGCTTCCGCTAGCTCGCATGGTCAAAGACGGATTGCACTTAATGCGTAGATTGAGTACTGCCCCCCCCCCCCCCTAGT